ATCTGTTCTTCAATTTTTTTTTGCAACATCTAGTTAAAAGAATCTACAAAGACTCTCTGAATCGGGTATTCATACAAGATAACTTTTTTTTTTGTACAAGACAACTTTTGAGAGTTTACTCTGTCCAACCCAGCACTTCAGTGATACTATCTGACTCCCAACTGACCTCTCTAGACTGCAGATTCAAATATCTTATTTGTTTCATTTCATATTCCCTGCTCTTATCCACTGATAGACACATCTGCCTGGATATTCCTGCCTCCTCACGGAAATGTTTTCCTGTCTTTTCTGACTGAAAGAGTCAGAAACTACAGGAAAGCACATGTTGGAAGGGACCTCTGGAGGTCATCTGGTCGCACTGCCTGCTTGAAGAACAGGTAACCTCATAGACAAGATTGCTTAGGGCCTCGCCCAGGCAAGTTTTGAAAATTTCCTTTCTCAAATTTGCAAGCTCATGTCCTTCACTCCAACTGCTTCTATAAAAGAAAAATCCTTACTTCTGCCATGTAATCCAGGACAAAGCAAAGCAAGGAAAAAAGCCAATGTAATGCGCATGGTATCAAGGACTTTCCTTCCCTCCTGCATAACTTTGCAAGCTTTCTCTCCTTTCATCAGACACAAGGAAAACTAAAAGATTCTCAGTGGAATAGGTCACAACATGGGATGTCCTCTACTATACTTCTGTATTTTTTTCAGCCACTGTAAGACAGCTTCCAAAACCAGAAATTCATGCTAGCCTTAGCATTGTGGCAAGCTAGCAGGCACTTCCTCTGACATGATTTCCTGCCTTCTCTGTACAGAGGAGACAAAAGAGACGGAGCGTACAATAGAGGCATACAATTAGGACACTACTACATGATTTGGAAAGCAGGTACCCTGTCTCTCTCCATCTGGAAATGAAGATTTTTTTTTGCCTGCATGTGTCCCATGGCTTCTGCAAAGTGTTGTGGCTGCCACTGAGGCTGGTATTCCCTGTGAGAAGCCCCCTGCTCTGAAAATGATCTCCCTTTTTTCTAGACAGCCCAAGTCTACTAAGCTCCAGGGCATGCTGTAGAGCATATATATCTGCCCTCATGGTCTCTGAGGAGCAGGGGAAGGATCCTCAGAGTTTATTCTCCATCCTGCAATGACCAATTAAAGGAGGCTGTGCACTATATTGCCTGCATGGATAAATAACAGCAAGCGCACCCTCATCAGCACTGAACTAATTTCTGATAGAAAATAAACAGGCAAACAGTGAGGACTGAAGAACATCTGGATACTTAAAAGTGCTAGAAACTTGGTATTAGACAAGTCAACACACTTTCCTATGAGCAATATATCCTACCTACCCACAAAGGTGCCACGGGCTCCTGCTTCAGGACATCCGTTGCAGATTTCCTTCCACTCAAAGCAGTTTTGTTCTTCTGAGATAAGGAGGCTGTAAATCCCCGGACAAGCTTAAGATGAAGAAAATACATATTTTTATAGTTTCTAAGCTTACAAAACAAAAAAACCCCCATACTTTCCATCTCTTTTCAGTAACTAGTATTAAGACTCCATCTTCATCCATCTTACAAAGAAAGACTGAGTCTTTCTGTGAGCACAAAGCAAAGGAGATGTTTGCTCTCACCACAGAGGGTTGGGATCCCAGGAGAGGCAAAACAGAGCCAACATAGAAAATCTGCCTGCTGCAGCAATCTGCCTTAAAGAAATCACATGTGGTAAAGTCTCTAGCCGCAGATTTTTTTTCCCCAATCTTAATAACTAAAGCTGCCACTGAATCTTAATCCTTTCTTTTTCCGTTTTGTTTGGACTCTTGCTATGAGATGCCAACTCTCCATGGCTGGCAAAGGCAGAGCCCACTTGTATGAGACACCAGCTGTTTTGCAGGTCAAGTTTAATCATGTGTTGGGACAGAAACAAAGTAAAGGATTTCCAAAGTCTGAACAGATAAAACAAGATTTGAAGTTAATCTAACAGCTGTGTCTGCAAATGCTAAACCCCGTGAACACGTTGGCTGTTCTGTATTAGGACATTTAGTTATATTATGACCAAACCTGAGAATAACCCTGCCTAAAATTTCTTGCTAGATATACCTGCATCCTACTTTGCTGTCAGCAGTATAGCTTTGTATCAGTAATTTTTTAAAGACAGGTTTCTCTTGCTTCATGAATCCCGTTCAATAAAGCAGAACGTTCTCCCCCAAACACCCATCTGCTAAAATTCACAGTCTCTGCCCAAACACGAGTCTTTGCAGCAGCTTTGAGAAGACAGATTTTAATCATTTCTGTGACAAGAAGCAAGTATGCTGACACATGCGTCAGTCCTCTCAAAAGCCCCTTTCTGACAAAAGCCTTTACGCGGGCCATGCCTGTAGGCTCACATGTCACCATCTCTTCAGCACACATGGATGTCACCCTTTGCAAGCACAGCTGGTTGCCTCTAACTGGTGGCTTGGTCCCCTCTGATTCCCGCAGGTGCCGGGACAGAGCATGAGGAGAGAACCAGCCTTTAGGGCAAAGAGGGGAGCTCTATCAACAGAACCCAGAGGCTTGTGAATGCTAAGCCAACAGATAACGTGCACACGTCCAGAGAGCCCCCAGGCACGGGCCTGGCCCCTCCACCTCGGAGGCAGCGATGAGGGCAACACGGGTGAGAGGGAAAGGCCGG